AGGAACAACCAAACACTTTCACATTCTACCTATTAACCATACTTGTTGAAGAGTCCTCTGGCCCATGAGCTTTGGTTTTCTGACCAAATAATCTGTGCCCCGAGCATCGAGCACCATCTTAGATTCAAAAGTGCAGCTGCTAGATGCAACTGAGAGTTTCCGAACAGCTCAATTATCTTTGGTTCGATTTCAGGATCTTCGCTCATTACGAAATTTTCCTCGAGCACTTTTTTCTTCTCCTGAAGATTCTCTTTGAATTCTTCGTTGAGCATTCTTAGGCTTAGAACATTCAATGCTTCTATTCCTGTTGTATGATACCCATTTTCCACATAACATGTGAAAACAAAATGGCATGTTGTTGGATCTGGATTTATTTTCTTTCGGTGCATTTGCTCCACTATGTACTCAACCACATCAATCAGTCCCTGAAATACAAAAGTTATGTGTGCTAAAGCAGTTTATTTGCTTTCGTTAGTTTCAGAATTCTTACGAGAAATATCTTTACCTTCTCAAATGCTTTACGCAAAATGGTGTTGTATGCTAAGAGATCGAGATGTATCTTTTCCAATATAGCTTGGTCCAAGAGATTGAGTGCCCCCTCAACATTTCCATCATTCAACAAAATCTAAGAGGAAACACAAAGCTTTAGTTAATACTTAATAGAAACTGTATCCAATCCAGAGACAAAGAAATGAGCAGCGATAAGCAGCCAAAGTCCACCAAAAAACTGAAAGTTCTGAGTGTGAATAATTGTTCGAGAAAATACGTTACGTGTTTGTGTAGGATTCTTTTTGTCCTCAACTGAATACTTATAGCAAGTTCTTGAAAAAGTGATGGCAGACTTTTAAAATTGTAATCTGTAAGTACCTTCATCAGAGACGTATATGTCATTGCTTTTGGAGAAAACCCGTCACGGATCATCATAGAAACTATAGCACAAGCTGATTCATAAGACTGAATAAAGCGGCAACAATCAATCATTATGTTGTAGGTAGCAGGGTCTGCAGGGTAGCCACATGCTTTCATACGTTTGAATATTTTGATCACCATGTCGGTCTGCATGTCAATCAATAATAACGATCAATATTGTAGCGCTCTATGTAAACTGGTGCAATGAAAACTTTTAAAGAGCTATTAGACAATAAAAAACTTACTTCATTTGCTTGAAGAAGTGAATAAAGCACTATATTGTATGTAGGCGTTTCTAGATACATATTCTCAGCCTTTTGCAGGTGTTGCAGCATCTCATTCACCATACCTTCAGCTCCGAGGGCTCTCAGCTGGAGAAAGTAAAAGGAAAGGTTAAACAATACGTTCATAGTTCTGAAGGATAACACAACCGCAATAACTGAAGTAAAGACTGATAGTATCGCATCGAAAGGGATTTTCCAGCTGCTTTTTAACTGAATAATATCACATCTGCTTCAAATAGACCAACAACTATCTATGTAGAGCAGAGACTAACCACATTCTGCCTTGAGACAGGACTGTGCTGAAAACCATTTCTCAACATGTCCATTTCTATAGCATTAATCCTTTTACAACAGTCTACTTGGGAGAGCATGTCGCCCTTTTCATATGGCACATTCACATTCCCAAATAACGAAAAGAGCAGTTCATATGTCCACATATTCGGACGCATTTTTAGCTGTTTCATTCTAGCCAAAACTCGGATCGCACGCTCTGGTTGACCCTACAAAACATTAGTAAGAAAATGAACCTCAAGTGCCTTGCGTAAATTAGCAGAACAAAATTATGTACTATATATGGACACATACAACAATGCATAATAACAACACCTCTAAAACATGACAACCACTTAGAGTGCAGAACAATTTTGGACGAACATTTCGAGTACAATACAATAAAAACAGAACAGTAACCCGTTGTTCCAAGCGTCTCCTATGATTAGAGTGGCATTATAGTCACAAGGATGATTTTTAAAAAATTTATGTGGCATCTAGGATCAACACATGTTCTTGAAGCTTCAGGGAAAACAAAAAAGACTTGTAATAGAATACACAAACACCGAAAGGTAAAAGAGGAAACTAGGGTAACTGGCTTTCCGATATGTAGAATCAAAATAACTAACCAAGGAGTTACACGCAGCAAGAAGGTTATTAAAAGCATATGTGTATGAGCTTTCAGATACTTGATCCAGCAGATGTTCAGCTAAATCAACTTGAAGGGCTTTACTGCACCAGGCTGAAACCCAGGCAAGAGTTGTATCATACGGTTTCATATTCCGCTGCTGCATTACTTTCAACTGTGTAGAGAAATGAATATAAAGAAAGATCATTATAAAGAAAAACTACATAGAGAAAGAAATTATGAAAGAGATGGCTTGAACAGTACATAAAAAATTACCAGTTTCATGCCATATTCATCATACCCACGTGGAAATGCAACAGCTCTAATGAAACCATCATATGTGTGCAATGATGGTTGCAACCCAAGTTTTTGCATCTATTAGTGCAGATAAAAAGAAAGTCAGAAATGAGGTTTTCACCATATACCACAAAGCAGGACTGGAACAAGAGGTCAGCTACTTAACAGAATTCTACAGCCCAACAAGAACAATAAAGAGCTGGTATCAATACTCATGAAAGCTTAAGAATTTCAATCAAGGTCATAGACAAAATATCTAAATTCCCATTCAAGATTTACTAATGCTGCAACTGTCTTCTAAGACTTTTCCAAAGAGGTTTCTTTTCGCATAACACTATAGTATCGCGTGCAGTGAGTGGATAAGGACGAGGAATGAATAGATGGGAAACTGGTAGGATTAACCTGCAGCATTAGCTGCTCCGCTAGCTCAGAGTTTTTAGATTTTGCACATGCATACATCACATCACTGAACGACCACCTGAGGATTCTGTTGAGACGTTCTGCCAAATCCACTTTGGAAGACTCAATTTCATTGATCTGTTCACCAGATGATTTGCACTCCACAGTGTTCTTCACATGAGCATCCATTAGCAAAGCCGTGGGATCATTTACTCCAAAGGCAATTTTCTCTACCCCTGTTTGACCACTTGATGGTATAGGAATATCCAGTCTCCTGGAATGCAATTTTCCCCTATTGAATTCAACAAAGAGCTCTCCCCTTGAAGCTAGAGCTACCATGTGTTGCAATAATTCATATGCTGTTTTCAAATCCCCCAACCTCGTAAAGGACCATATGAATCTTCTGAGAGAGTGTATATTCAGATTATAGTGGTCAACATAGTGTCTCAATATTTCGTAAACAGAGGATAGATTGCGCTGAAAAACTGCAAGCTGAAAATAACATTAATCAGATAACAAAGAAAAGTAAGATCATTTATGCAAATCAATGAAAATGAAACCTCTAGGAATAAGCATCCTTAAGAGACAGAAAAGCTAAGACAAAAACTGGGACAAAGTTATGAAATGATGGTTTTTTCCGTATATCCTACACTCCGAATACAAAAGTTGGCATATGATCAGCTCTACGAAAAAAAGCACTGAAGTAAGATATGTCCTTAACTAACCTTGAGAAGTGCTGCATATGTCATTTCATCCTTTCCCACTCTCCGTTGATCCATCAATTCCAAACATTTACTCGCGTGATTCCAACTTTTCGTATCAGCACATGCTCCAAGAAAATAGTTATACACGGGCAAAACAGAAGAGATACTATCACCGAGAGCGTGAATGAACTCTGACGCCTGAACAATTATATCCGGACAAACAAATAGATAGACGTGAGTTACTATATCATACGGAAATACTGGATATTTGATCCGAATATTTATACCTTATCCAAGTGTCCCCCTTTACAAAGGGCTTGCACTATGAAGAACAAGGATCTGCTGTCCAGACTGATTTCCTTCTTACACATTACACTGTAAGTCTCCATGACAAACTACAGGAACAAATTACTGCCTTGAGGTCAGATACAACAAGCACAATGTATTACGAGAAATTAATTACAGATGTACATCTCAGTTCTACCAAAACTTCAGTGATAGAGAACTCCGAGTTTATGCAACAGACTTTAGAATGCCATGAAACTCAAAAGACAAGCATAAAGCGCGGCATTTTCATAAACCAACTTACCACAGGATCCGGTATTTGTGCACAATATTCTAGAATGCCATGAAAATCATTGACACTAAGTGAATTGTTTCCTTGTATTAACTTTAAAAGCAGAGCTGACGCTCCAGGCCTTTCTCCCGAACAAAGCGCATCGACAATCTGCACCTCTAAGATCTTCTTAGGTGACTCATCTTGGCATCGAATGAAGTCATTACCTACATATGGAAAACATGAATTTCAAAGTCACAAAATCTCGTCTTTAAGAATCCAAGTAAGTAATGAAACATTATAAGATCAATAGAGATAAATCAGACATACCAATCAATGTCGTAAAACTACGAGAACAAGAACAACCATCCCAATTATCGATTCCTCTTCGTCTCTGTCCCTAAAGTCAAATACCCAGTTAATAAAAATTACAACTTTTTGTCAAACAACGAAGAAACTAATTGAAGAAAACTAACCCGAGATAAGATTGGTGATAACTTTGACGACGAAGACGAGCTCACGATGAATCGCAATCGAGGAATCAACCTGCATTTGAACAAACAAGAAGCAACTCAATAAACATTTAATCGAAGTAATAAGCAACAAAGAAAAAAAAAACCAATTCGTCAAATAACTTACACAGCTCTGTACATAGCGCTTTCAGTCCACCAAAATTAGGGTTCTACGTCACAGCTATCACCTCACTAGAGCAGAACTTAGCTAAAAGTATCTAAACTCTAAACCCATAAGCGAAGGTTTCATTTTTTATTTTTTTGGGGTCTTCGATTTATGGACAGTGATTTTACTTATGTTTTACTTATGTATCGATCTCGCTCTCTGGTTCTAGCAATCTGGCACAAGAGATGCGAACATGTAAGAGAACAAGAGAAGCTTGCCGATAACAAAATAAATTCATTTCAGGTTATCAAAAACGTTTTGCAGTCTAATGGAAAAAACATTAATGGGCCGTAATATTCATAATTGCTGGCCCATTTAAAATTTATCCTCTCTATTCATGCATTCCAATTTCTCTCCGGTTAAATAATTTGATTAGGATTGGTTTAGTTTAATAGCTAGCTAACCAATGAGCAAGAACAAAACAACCATGAATGGAAGAAAATAAATTTCAATCTCAAAAGCTGATCTAGATTTTTTTTTTTTTTAGTTTTACAAGCAAAAATTTGTAACAAATATTTAAGTTTCTACTTTCTAACAATATATACTCAAGTAGATCAACGAAAATATTACATAGAAGAACATGTATAAACGAAAGGTCGGTCGATGAGAAAGTTGTTTACATTATTTATTTACTTTGTTATAGTTGGACTGATAAATCGGCGTTTCACTTTCACAGTTTTCAATGGAACAAAGACATATCCTTAGCTATCTTTTTCAGAACATTCTTCTGAGTCTTCCCAGTAGAAGTCTTAGGAAGATCCGAGAATACTACTGTCTTTGGAACCATCTTCATGTACTTGTTCCCAAGCTTTCTCTCACAAAACTCAATGATCTCTTCCTCTTTGGCCTCAACTCCTTCCTTGAGCTTTACGAAAGCACAGACTGACTCTCCTAAAGCTTCGTCCGGTCGTCCAACCACCGCAGCTTCATAAACCGCCGGGTGACTATAGAGAAGCCCTTCGATCTCTGTGGATCCCAAAATTTCTCCACCGCAAGTTATAACATCTTGTGATCTATCTTTCAGTTGTATGTATCTTGCATGTGGAAGGATACATTAATAAACCATTAGATGTTTAAGAGTTACATATTTTATTTATA